TTTAAAAACAGCCATGGGGGAAATGAGCATAAGGATGTCTTATAATTTTTTTCCCTTTAAATAATTATTTTTATATTTTATTTATTATTATTTTATGCGTATGAGTGTATTGCCTGCATGTAAGTAAGTGCACCCGTGTCATGCAATGCGGCGGAGGTCAGAAGAGGGTTTTGGATTTCCCTGGAACTGGAGTTAAGGACGGCTTGTAGCCGCCATGTGGGTGCTGGGAATCGAACACAGGTCTTCTGCAAGAGCGGTCAGTGCTCTTAACCGCTGAGCCGTCTCTCCAGCCCCTCCTTTAAATAATTTGGGGGGGGGGTTGGGCTTTTTTGACACAGGGTCTCCCTGTAGCCCCATCTAACCTGAAACTCATTATGTAGTCCAGGTTGGCCTCTATCTCACAGAAATCTACCTACCTCTGCCTCCTGAGTGTGGTTAAAGGCATGCACCACCACACCCAATTAAAGATTTATTTTTATTTCTATGTATGTATGTATCTGTGTGCACAGGTTTGTACAAGTGCTTGTGGAGGCCAACAGCTTCAGATCCCCTGGAGCTGGAGTTACAGGTGGTTGTGAGTTTTCTGACATTGGTGCTGGGAATTTCACTCAGTTCCTCTGGAAGAGCAGCAAGTGCTCTTAACCTTCAAGCCATTTGTCCAGCCCCATCATAGAATTCTTGATGGAGCAAATGTAAAATGTATAGTCGGCAGAAAGGATTGCTTTAGGAAGAGTGGTCAGGGAAGGTCTTTCATTTTGCTGAAGAGGTAATATTTGAAGGTAGATCTGTAAGCTGAGGAGACAGTATTGCTGGAGAAAGGAGCAGAAAGGCAAAAAACATGAGTTAGGAAAAAGAAACAAACAGACAGTGTAAGTGAAATGCACAAAGCTTGGAGTTAGCAAACCGGAAGTCCTCAGGATGCCTGTGGCTACGAAAACCAGGCATTTGTGAAAAGGCAATAGACAGATAAGCAGCTACCCAGTCCTTGGGGAGTGCAACATTTAGAGGTCACTGCTAAGGTTTGAATGTTGAATGTCTCCCAAAGCACCAAGTGTTAAAGTTTGGTTCTTAGGGTGAGGCTATTGGGAAGGGTGGACCCTTGAAGAGGTGTGCCTAGTGAGATGTCATCAGAAGGTCATTGGGGTGTGCCCTTGAAGGGACTGAGGGGTCTCACCCTCTCCCTCCCCTCCCCCTCCTCTCTCTCTCTCTCTCTCTCTCTCTCTCTCTCTCTCTCTCTCTCTCTCCTGCTTGTAATAAAGTAAGCATTCTGGTCCCACTGTGGCCCTTGCCATTGCCATCGGGTCAAGTGATCATGGAGTGGAAACTTGAAAAATGTGAGCCCAAATTAACCCATTTCTTGGTAAACTGATCATCTTAGGTCTTCTGTAATACCAATGAGAAGTTAACATAGTCACAGTAGAAGAATGAGGAACTTTTTTTTTCTGTGAACGGTAGAGATAGTCTTTGAACTCAGGTGATGAGGAAGAGATACCCTCTAAAATACTATAAACTTCTTAGAGAATTTTTTGAAATAATTTTTGTGGGGCTGGAGAGATGGCTCAGAGGTTAAGAACACTGGCTGTTCTTGCAGAAGACCCGGGTTCAAATCCCAGTACCCACATGGCAGCTAACAACTCTTCGTAACTCCAGTCCCAGGGGATCCAATAGCCTCTTCTGACATCCGCAGGCATTGCACGACATGGGTGCACTTACCTACATGCAGGCAATACACATATACACATAAAATAAAAAAATAATAAAATTTAAAAAAATTTTTTTGCTTCTACAGCTTTTTATGACACATGTAGCTGGAACTAATCTTACTATTTAAATTGTGTTCAATTATGTCTAATTATATAGGTGATTAATAGAGTTATTTATTTTTGGTAATGATAGCACCTTATCCCGACTAATTGAATCCTCCTCAGAGGTAAAGGTAAATTGTGTGCTACATTGCCCAGTGTTGTTTGACTTGAAAGTTGAGTTGGAAATTAAACTGCTTTGGGACATACATATTGCATTGAGGTAGGTGTTTTTAGTCTCAGTTTACATTTAAGAAAATATATAAGAAAGGCTAAGATTTGCCCAAGGTCACCTGTCTTGGGTAAGCTGGACTATGAACCTAAGCAATCTGACTCTATAGCCCACTTGTTCAACTACTGTGAAATTGCACAGTACATCACAGTATCAGCTTACCTCGCCGTTATCTGACAGAAGTTCCAGCCATGTCTCATTACTCCATCTGCAGACTCAGCATCCTCCACCTACTTTCATCTTTGATTCTCATTTTTATACAATATTCACAAGTTTGTTATGCACAGAAATTGGAATACTCAAATATAGACCAGTATAAATGGCCAGAAACTCAAACTAGATTGATAAGAATAAATGGCAAGATGCAAACAATGTGTATAGTATGCTGATATTTGTACAAATGGAGGGAATACATATTTGAATATTGTACAAACCAGAGTCCAAGGGAGAGGTGGCATGTGCAGATATCGTCAATCAATGGTTTGCTTATAAGAGTGTAGGCAGGGTCAAAGAAAACCATGATAAAAGCACTTCCATGGTGGCTGAAGGGATCTGTCAGCTAGCATCCAGGGGAAAACAGAGGGCTGCCTTCCCAGTCTAAGAGAGCAGGAGTAGGGAGAAGCTGTTATCAGAACCCAGGTGCTATTGCAGAGGACTGTCCAACAGAGGTGTCACATTTGGTAGTTATTAATAGTCCCACGTTCAACAAGGAAAGAATTGGGAAAATAAATACTCAGTCTCCCCTACCTTCCTTTCATCTCCTATTGGGGCTCTCCTCACCCTTTCCTGTACTTCCCATAACCTTCTGGAGGAAGGAACCTATTGACATTGCCAGTAAAGGCAGCCTTCTGGGGAAGAGCTGAGTAGAGAAAGGTGCAAAGAAGGTGAGGTGTGAACGGAATATCCACACATAAACATAGGATACTTTTTCTGGAATTATTTACATTAACTAGTTTCTTAGAGACACAAGACTTTTTAAAATAAGATGTATGAAAAAAAAGATGTATAGTATGAAATCCACAAAAAAATCAATAAAAATATTCATCGAAAGCAATATACTTTATTTGTAGAACACCATTAGATTTATAGAACAATCAGAAAATGATGCAGAGTTTTCCAATGCTCCCTGTATTAATTTATCCTATTTTGACATCCTGAATTTGTACAGTACATTTGCCACAATCAAAAAACAATATAGACACATCATTAACTAAGTAATAGTCACAATTTGTTCAGATTTCTTTAGCTTTTACCTAATTTAATATTTCTGTTCCATCAGCCTCCCCAGAATACCACATTACATTTGGTCATCATGATTTCTGAGGCTCCTCCTGACTTAGTTTCTCAGAATTCTCTTGCTTTAGGTGACATTAACAAATTTGAGAACTCACCAAGTGTGTTATAGGATGCCACGCTGCTGGGATCTGCCTGACACACTTGTGATTAGGCTGAAGTTATGTGTTCTTGGGTGGAAAATCAGTGTCAAGGATACACAGTCAACAGGCTTGCCATTGAAACTGACCTTGATGACTTGGCCAAGGCAATGTTTACAAGGTTTCTCCACTGTAAAGTGGCTTTCCCCATTCCCACCACTTTCCAGGCAGCACTCTTCAGAAGAAAGTAATTATATGCAGTTTGCACTGATGAGTGCGGAGTTAAACCTTGAGGGCAGAATAGGTACATAAGTTATTTGAAATTCTTCTCATTTATTGATTTGACCATTTATGTCATTAGGGAATCATGAACATTTGTTTTATACTTTACACTGTAAGTGAATATATTTTTTTAAAAATCACATTGTTCTAGCTTTGGTCATTAGGAGGCTTCGATTGACTCCTCTGTACCTTTGTGTATCTCATCAGTACAGGGTACATTTGTTTGTGTCTGGGGGGTGCTTCTTTCTGGCTCCAGATGATGCTCCAGACTTACCTTGTATATTTCCTGCACCAATCCAAAAATCATTTCTCCAAGGAAACCTGATTCTTTTTGTCATAAAGCCAAGATCTGGTTGTTAGATGTACCCTTGCCACTGTGGTTTTGTTGCTGTAAGCCTCTCAACTGATAAAGCAAAGAATTATGTTTGTATGTTAGCCAATATATATTCCGCAACACTTCTAAGCCACATTATAGTTATATCTTAATAAAGAAATGCCCTGATGCTTAGCATCCATTTTAATGCCAAGAGCAGACCCAACTGTTGAGAACCTGCTCCTTCTGTGTTTTCAAGCAAGGGCTTTGCTCATTCTTTAATTGAGACTATCTCCAGCATGAAATGGAGAAGTCTAACTCACCTTTATCTTATCAGAGAAGAATTTTGCCCTTTAATCCCTAGACCTAGAATACCACACACAGAAGGACAGACAGTTATCAACTTCTTTCATTGCTTTTGATGAACAAAGCACACTTTTTGCAATGCTTTGATATATAAAACATACATACAAACATTCATACACTATCTTGGGTCAAAGGCAAGGCAGGGTTCTGAGGAATTAAGGTCATATGACCAGGTCACAAGAGGAGCACATGGCTCAGTGATCTTGTTTACATTACAAACAGTAACTTTTTGGTTGCATGGTTAGGTAAAAGCCTTTGTCTGGAGTATGTGTATACTGCAAAAGTCACTCCTACAATATCAATATGGATATATTTGCTATATGTGACCATTACTTTATTTTTATTTTATTTTATTTTTTTGGTTTGCTGTGTATAGCTTTAATTATGTTGAGGTATGTTACTTTATTTTTTTAAGTTATTTTTTATTATTGTGTTTGCATGTATGTGTACATGATGATGATGATGACAATGACAACAGCAATGATGATGTGTGCACATCATGTGGAGGTTAGAGAAAACTCTTATTCAGGTATAAAGACAAATGAAATTAGGAAATTTTCAAAAAATAAAGGAAACTGGAAAATATTAAAAACATAACTTTGTAAAAGAAAAGAAAGGGAAAAGGGAACTTGATACTTACCTGACAGTGGAAATATCATGATCAAGAATGTGGTTTTCCAGGGTGACACTTATCTATTGCACTTTGGATGTGCTGAGTCCTGAAATTTCCTGAAATGTGGGAAACTGGACTGAATAATCTGTGTCAATGTGTCTGTGTTTGTATTCACCCCTGAAAAAAGAAGTTTGAAGGGAAGTACGCTGCACAAGTGGATAATGCTGTTCCCAGGAGCTATAGGTTATTAAATGAAAAGCCCCGTGCCAGGTGTAGAATACATTCTTAGGAGTTGTTGGACAGGGAGGCCCAGAGGCCTCTAAACTATCCCAGCTAATTAACCTAACCTAAGTTACTCCATTTTGCCTAGAACAGCCATTTCAGAAGTGCCCTTTCCTCTACTCATGGGAAATACCCAGAGGCAAACTTGAGTTCTGAGAAATGGGCTAACTGCAAAACCACAGAATGTTCTGATCTAGGCCCTGCACCTGGCTAACTGCTTATCTTCCTTTTGTAAGCTCGCCTTGCTTGCCTGTGCAATAACAGGTTGTTGATAGGTAAATTCAAATTTTGTTATGTGAACCTGATTGGCTCACTGATGTTCTATTTGAACCATGCTTTCTGTAATCCTATAAGAACTCTGGCTGGCTGATGCTCAGGACTGCTTCTATTCCCAACATAGACAGCCCGGTTGGCCAAAATAAAACTTTACCTTGCTACTTTCAATTAAGTGGTGTTGGTGATTTTTATTCAGAATCCAGCATATAACAGCTTCCAAAAAAACACAGGCTATTATTATTATTATTCTTGATTGCCCACCAGAACTTAAATAGTAAGATACCACATACTTCAATTGTAGAACACAGAAAAATCAAGCTGGAACCGACCTGGAAGCTTCCTTCCCATTGGTTAGCCTTCAAAAAAAGGTGCTATGCAGGCCGCTGAAGGAGGAAAGTCATCAATAGTCTTACCCAATTATGAACCCTGTGAGCTACAATACTAACTTGCCAAGCAATATATGCCCAATGTTGCACAGTGGCATCACTGTTATGGGCACAACCAACACTTTTTAATTGGATTTGATACCCACTCCATAAGAAGAACTCATGCCTGGTACTGTAAAACTGGTCAAAAGCCCATGGATGGGAAAGTCATAGGCCCTATGGGGGAACCTACTATTGTTGCTTTGCTAAATGGACATGGTATCAAATTGCCTTTTATTTATTTTTTTTTTAATATTTTATTACTTATTTTTAGTTTATGTGTATGAGTATATTGCCTGCATGTATGTGAGTGCACCCATGTCATGCAATGCCATGGAGATCAGAAGAGGGCTTTGGATTCCCCTGGAACTGGAGCTAAGGACGGTTCATAGCCACCATGTGGGTGCTGGGAATTGAACCTGAGTCCTCTGTAAGAACAGTGAGTGCTCTTAACCTCTGAGCCATCTCTCCAGCCCCCAAACTGCCTTTTAAATACTTATACTACACATGATAATTAAAAGTACCAGACTGGTGAAACTAAACTTATTGGATGTTTAACACCCATAGTTTGAGGCCTATACCAATATGGTCAGAGGGACTTAAAGGACAGTTTTTGCCCCTTGCCCTCCAAGGTCGACTAAGTTCCAGGACTATGGAACATCTCTCAAAATGTCCTGTAACTGTGGTGAGTCACCTGTCCTCTTGTTCAGGAAGTACGTGGAGACCCCATGAGATGGACTTGAACTAGTGTCCAGTCTACAAAGAGGAAGGTCAACTCAGAAGAAACAGCTCATTCATGCTTCCAAGTTAAGCCAGACATGGTCAAGCAGGACCTTTGACATATCTATACATAGATGGAACTGGTAAAAGGAAGGAGCTAGGAGCACCTCCTAAGCCCATGTGACCCCTGAGGAACAGATCCTCAAATGACCTTAAATGTAAAAATAAATTGATTTATTTGGGCAAATTGTATGCTCTTAAACACCCAAAAGGAAAGTATAACCAAAGAGTAAAGTCATCAGTATATTTCTTTAAGAGTTCAAGGGATTATACTTCCCAGACATTAGGCTTAAGTCTATATAAAAAGTTATTTAGACAATTATTTCTCATTGATGATATTGTTCCTAACCAGAAAGTGCTGCTCAGATGTAAGACTTCAAATCTTGGTCTCCAATACTTTAGTGCCCACCTGTAGCTAAGGGAGACAACGAGCTATTGTTCTAAAATGATGGATACATTGGTTTTCTCCCCCTATCTAGAAGGGAACTTTGAGAGGGAACTGACACTGATTCTAACCACTCCAACAGGTAGCAAAGTGCCTGAAAACAAATCCTGAATCCATTACTCTAGAGTCCAGTCTTGGAAGACAAAAGAAAAATGAGGAGGATCCCAATAAAGGGATGCTTTTGGAAGCCCTTGTCAAGAAATTCCAATGGATTCTCATATGAACATTTGAAAATTGCCCTGTTCTGACTTTTTTTCTAGTTCCCTGTCTAGAACTTGTAATGCTAATTACTCTTGCCTTTACTTCTCCTTCACATCTCCTATTCACGATTCAAGGACTTTCATTTCCCCCTAGAGATAAGAGTTATGCAATTTGGGAGTCTTAGATAGACCCATTGAAGGGGTACTCCAGTTGTCTCACCCTGCATCCCCGTTCAGCATGGAAGAAGCCAAAGCGGTCTGTGTCCCAATTCCCTATTGGCAATTTGGGTAACCTCTTCAGAGGATGGTGTGATAAGAATAGGAGGTAGGTATTGGCTAGGCAGTTAGGGCAAAAAGACCCCAAAGAAAAGTAGCCAGTTTCTTGGCTAAAAGTCACAATGTCCTTGGGCCTCTTAGCCACATACTCCGTTCCAAAGGCCAAAAATGTCAAAAGTATTTGGGAGCTTTTATCTAATCCTTAAAAGATTTTAGGGTTGCCTCTTCAGAGGGGGGAATGTTAGGGTAGCCAAAAGCCCCATAAAAAATAAATATATCAAAGAAGGAGTACATGAAGTTATTAGAAAAAAGTGATGGGGAGATAAGGGAGGAGTTGGAGGGGAAGGAGTGGGCGTGGATTTGATCAAAACACCTTATATGAATGTATAAAATTCTCAATAAATTATTTAGTTAAAAAATAGTAATATTGGCTGGGCATGGTGGTGCACGCCTTTAATCCCAGCACTTGGGAGGCAGAGGCAGGTGGATCTTTGTGAGTTCGAGGCCAGCCTTGTCTATATAGTGAGTTCCAGGACAGCTGAGGCTACAAGGAGACCCTGTCTCACAAGAAAGACAAAAAAAAATACTAATACTAGACACATATACTCGTAGATTAGTGCTGCTCTGAGCTTCTGTTTGTAGTGGGTGACAATTAATGCAGAGATTTATAACTAGTCAAAGCACCCATAATAAGTAAGTGCTCAGTCCTAAACAAGACATCTATATCCTCCCCTCCAAGGTTCAGGAGACATCATAGAGAAGGGGGCAGAAAGAATGTAAGAGCCAAAGGATGGGAAAGGAGTGCTGTGAAATACTATCTTCTGGACATAGCATGGCTGTTGAACCCATGAACTCACAGCAGCAGTGGCTACCTACATAAGACCTGCTTAGATGGAGGATGGGCTTCCTTGAGGCACTAACTATAGGCAGTTAATAGTTATTTGGGAAGGAGGAATCATATTCCTCAGTGATGTAGCACTGGTAACTTGCCCATGATCAAGTACATCTCTCTCTCCCCCATGCAAGCAGCCCTAATTAAATGCAGTGGACCACATATACACAAAGACACAAAAGTAGGAAGGGGAATTATTTGGAAGAAGAGGGGTTTGGTGGTAAAGGGAAAGAGAGGATAAAGGGAAGAATTATGATCAAAGTATATTAGATATATGTGTATAATTATGAAAGAATAAATATTTTTAGATAGAAAAAAGTATTTCAGAGTCAGACTGAGCTTCAGTCCCAGTTTTGTCATTCTACCTATATGACCTTGGAGGAGTTATTTAGTTCCTCTTGGGCTTAATTTCATCATCTCTAAAATAAGATTATGTGAGAATTGTACCTATCTCATAACACTGGTGTGAGAATTAAATGCAATGCCTGGCACACAGTAAGCACTTGATAAATGTTAGGTATTATAATTGTGTTCTGGGGCTTTAAGGAACTGTTTAAGTCTTGGTATATTTTGAGCTTTATTCCAGAAAAAGGTACATGAGTGCATGTACATGTTATTTGATATTGCCAGGAATAGCTAATTTTATCTGTCAAAAATTTCTTCCTAGCACGCTCTTTTGAGTCATGGATTTTGGCTTTTAAGTAAGCTAAAGGTTGTTAATTGGGAGAACAGCCAGGAAAACTTACCCACAGCTTCTGAATCACATGTTGAGCAAATCTGGCAGCATTAGCTCCAAGCTGCCTTCTGTTTCTAATCATTTTTCCTCCTAATTTAGTTTCTCCCACCTAAAGGTATTATAATTTATTTTTCATTGCAGAGTCCATGAAGATACCACAGAATGAAAAGGCAATTATTTCCAAATAAATGGAACCCATATCTGCTGAACATCACAACTGGCTTCATTCCAGGTACTAATAATCCACAGAGGTACTTCTATGGATTGAGATGCATCACTGAGCTAAAGGATCTAAAGAGGTTGGCAAAGATCTTGCCCAAGCAAAGCTCTCTTCTCATCTATACTGCTGAAATTCTAAAAAGGAAGAAAAAAAAACATGCAGAATCATTTGTTTTTAAAGACTTTTTTGTTTGATTTGGGTTTTTTAAAGACATTTTTAATTATGAGAGGAGAGAGAGAGAGAGAAAGAGAGAGAGAGAGAGAGAAACAGGCACTTGAGGAGTGTAGAGGCATCAGATACCCCTGGAGCTAGAGTTACAGGTAGTTGTAAGCTTCCTGACGTGGGTGCTGGGAACTAAACATGGGTCCTCTGCAAGAGCAGTACATGCTCTTAACTACTGAACCATCTCTCTAGACCTTTGAAAGGATTTTTTAGAGGATACAGGTTGATGGCTTTGTAGTGCCTTGAAAGGTTACAGGACAACCCTCTGGTGTCAGCGTTCTCTTACCACTGTGTGGGATCCAGGGATCAAACTTAGGTCAGGTCATCAGTTCTAGAAGCAAATACCCTTTATCCACTATGATGGCTAATCCTGGGTGTCAACTTGACTGGATCTGGGATTAACTGAAATGAAAGAGATCATCTT